TGTTACCCAGGCTGGAGTGCAATGGCGCGATCTCGGCTCACCGCAACCTCCGCCTCCTGGGTTCAGGCAATTCTCCTGCCTCAGCCTCCTGAGTAGCTGGGATTACAGGCACGAGCCACCATGCCCAGCTAATTTTTTGTATTTTTAGTAGAGACGGGGTTTCACTATGTTGACCAGGATGGTCTCGATCTCTTGACCTCGTGATCCACCCGCCTCGGCCTCCCAAAGTGCTGGGATTACAGGCGTGAGCCACCGCGCCCGGCTTGCTCAGTCTTTTATATTTGCCACTGGAGTTGCAAAATTGGGAGAGTCACATCAATCATTAAATATTCGTAACGTAATTCACTGCAATTCTCATTTTTAAAATACATAATTTATATAATTAATATATAATAATTTAACTTCAGTAAATGACTTTTTTCTTATATATGGTCTATCCATTTTTACTGATAGACGGAATCAGCAGGAATTCAGCGAGCACAGATTCAGAAAGAACTTTGGCGAATTCAAGATGTCATGGAAGGACTGAGTAAACACAAGCAGCAAAGAGGTACTACAGAAATAGGTAAATTAGCTTTGCATTTTGTTTTGTGACTGACCACAGTATTACAGTCATGTGTCACTTAGTGACAGATTACGTTCTGAGAAATGCATTGTTAGGTCTTGTGCAGTCACAGTGCACTTAAACAAACCTAGATGGTATGGCCTACTACACACCTAGATTATTAGGTATAGCCTGTTGTTTCTAGGTTGCAAACCAGCTTGTGACTGTATGTACCGAATACTACAGACAGTTGTAACACAATGTTATTTGTATATCTAGACATAGAAAAGGTAATGTGTTGGTCAAGTATGGTGGTGCACACCTATGATCTCAGCTACTTGGGAGGCTGAGGCAAGAGAATCTCTTGAACCTAAATTTAAAAAAATATATACATGACATGAAATTGTTCTTTTGGCCAGGAGTGGTGGCTCACACCTGTAATCCCAGCACTTTGGGAGGCCGAGGCAAGTGGATCAGGTCAGGAATTTGAGACCAACCTGACCAACATGGTGAAACCCCATCTCTACTGAAAATACAAAAATTAGCCAGGCATGGTGGCACATGCCTGTAATCCCAGCTACTCAGGAAGCTGAGGCAGGAGAATTGCTTGAACCTAGGAGGCGGAGGTTGCAGTGAGCCAAGATCATGCCACTGCACTCCAGCTTGGCCAACAAGAGCAAAACTCCATCTCAGAAAAAAGGAAAGAAAGAAATTGATTTTTTTTAGCTGTATGTGGTGGCTCATGCCTGTGATCCCAGCATTTTGGGAGGCTGAGGCAGGTGTATCACTTCAGGTCAGGAGTTCGAGACCAGCCCGGCCAACAGGGTGAAACCCCACCTCTACTAAAAATACAAAAATTAGCTGCGCATGGTGGTGCACACCTCTAGTCCCAGCCATGGGAGACTGACGCACAAGAATTGCTTAAACCCGGGAGGCGGAGGTTGCAGTGAGCTGAGATCACACCACTATACTTTAGCTTGGGCAACAGAGCAAGACTTTGTCTTAACAAAAAAGAATCTAACCATTGTCCTCATAGAGAAACTTAAAAGAAAAAAAAAAAAAGAAATTGTTATTTTTTATAGTGTTAGATTTGTTTAATATAGCTACATTTTCTAACATTTCTAGGCATGATAGGATCAAAGCCTTTCTCAACAGTTAAGTACAAAAATGAGGTAAGTTTGGATTGTTTTTCTAACTATAAATTACTTTTAATGCTTCAGACATGAACTAGAAGTAATTGTCTTCTCTAATCTTAATAACAAAAATATTTTTAAAATATATTGAATAGGTATTGTTTTAATCTTGAAATTTTATTGGGTCAGTAATTTGGTGCTTCTAATATGTGATTTTTCTTCCCTTTTTAATGGAAAAAAATGGAATCTCTGCTTTTTATCTATGTTAGAACTTTAACATTGTACTTTTTCTAATCTAAGTAATTTTTGAATACTTATTGTTTTATGTAAAATTTAAAGAGTGATTGATAGATAATTTGACTGTGTGTCATCATAGCATAAAGAAATAACTACAAAGAGATACTGTCAACCTAACCAAAAGAATCTATTATTTTGAATTTTGTGTAAAAGCCAGTCAAAGAGATGACTTTTTTTTTTCTTCTCTTAAAAATTGTGGGGCCAGGTACAGTGGTTCATGCCTATAATCCCAGCACCTCAGGAGGCCAAGGCAGGACGCTGGCTTGAGCTCAGGGGTTTGAGACCAGCGTGCTAAACATAGCAAGACCCCCGTCTCTACAAAACATTAAAAGATTAGCCAGGCATGGTGTTCCTATAGTCCTAACTACTTGGGAAGCTGAGGCAGGAGGATCCCTTGAACCCAGGAGTTCAAGGGTGTAATGAGCTATGTGTGATCAAACCACTGCAATATAGTGAGACCCCATCTCTACAAAATAAATACATAAATAAGATAAATTGAAAATATGAGTAGTATTTTAAAATCAGTTTTTTCCTTCTAGTTTCAAAATGAAACCCAGTAATTAGTTTTACACAGCAGTCTTTTTCAGTGTTGAGCTTCAGTGTGAAGCTAACCTATATATTACAGGAAAGAATTAGATATAATTTTATGTTAAATTCCCATTATTGGCGATGATAAAAATTGTCAATTTTACTTTTCATTATTAGACTTTTGGCTTGGCAGTGTCCCTTTTAGTATCTTAAAATAAATTTAAGTTAATATACCATTGCAAAGAATTTAGATATGCTTAATTCAATCTGCTTATCTAAATAAGGTGACTGTTCTACAATCTTTAGGAAGAGGAAGTAGTCCCACCTCGTCCTCCACTTCCTCGGTCCTATGACTTTACAGAGCAGCCTCCCATAATCCCCCCTCTGCCCAGTGATAGCAGCTCCTTGCTCTGTTATAGCAGGGGCCCAGTTCATCTGCCTGAAGAAAAGAAGATGTATCAAGTTCAAGGATATCCAAGAAATGGATCTCACTGTGTAAGTGGCTGGAATAGCCACAGAATAATCAATCATACATGTCCTCTCATTTTTGAAAATTTATTTTACACTCAAAATGTTTTTTTATTTTAACCTTTGTAACCTCATTTTTAGCCAGCAGTTTTTGGTTTATATATAATTTTATCATTTGTGTCTTTCCTGTTTTGGTTTTTCCTATTCTCATTTTTAAATATTTTTATAATTTCAATATTTCATAATTTCATAGCATTTTTCATATTTTTATAAAGTGGTAACTTTCCCCATGATGAAGGAGCCATATATTGTTTCAGGATATTAGAGGCAAAATTATACCTTAGATCAGAAAGAAGGGAGAAAGAAAAAGACCGTTAGTAGGAATGGTAAAGGGGCTGAGATGTGGGCATTTTGGTCTAGGAAAACTATTCAAAGAATATTTCTGAGGATGTTGCTAGGGAGAGATGTCACCCTTGAAAATGGGAAATACATTTAGGGTTAAGCAAATAATGTAGGATGTAATAAGCAAAGAGAATAAGGAAATAGGAATTGAGCAAATTTGAGAACAACAAAAATTCTGTGACAAGAATGTTAGTGCTGGGATGATCCTCACTTAGACTACCTTCTGAATGAAAATTTATTGAGTTAATATAATTATTTTTAGCCCTCAATTATTTCATAATAAAAATGTGACTTTGTTCCCAAGAGAAACAGAAATACTGTTTTGTTTTGTTTTTGTTTTTGTTTTGTTTTGTTTTTTGAGACAGGGTCTCACTCTGTTGCCTGGACTGGAGAGCAGTGGCACAGTCTCTGCTCACTGCAAGCTCTACCTCCTGAGTTCAAGTGATTCTCCTGCCTCAGCCTTCCGAATGGCTGGGATTATAGGCGTGCACCACCATGCCCAGCTAATTTTTGTATTTTTAGTAGAGACAAGGTTTCACCATGTTGGCCAAGCTGGTCTCAAACTCCTGGCCTCGGGTGATACACCCGCCTTGGCCTCCCAAAGTGCTGGGATTACAGTTGTGAGCTACCTTACTCAGCCAAAAATATTCTTCATTAAAACAAAGTTTTGCCACTTAAAAATTTTTCGAATTTCTTCTTTCCATGTAGTTGTGACATAGGTATATATCCCAGATGGCTCACTAGGGGTACTAACTTTTAGAGTTTGATTTGTATCTTTAACAGGAAACATTTTAAAAGAAACTTTTAGCTGTTTTTTTTTTGTGTAATTACATGTCTTCCTTTCAAGGGTCCAGATTATAGACTCTACAAGAGTGAACCAGAGTTAACAACAGTGGCAGAAGTTGATGAATCTAATGGAGAAGAAAAATCAGAACCTGTTTCAGAGATAGAAACTTCAGTTGTTAAAGGTCAGCATTTGTAATGTGTTTTACCTCTTGTTTTTTTGTTTTTTGAAGACCATTTACTGCTGAAATAACAGTAAATTCCGTTTACATGTTGACTCATTACATATATGAGTTCAACCCTTTATCTGAAACCTTTGGAATCTGATGGGTTTCTGAATTAAGAAATTTTCAGATAGTAAAAGATAAAATGGCCCATAAATGATATATGTCATCTCAGCTAGGTATGAGGAAGCACTCTTTTTTTTTAGTACTATTTCTACAATATTCATTCCAAGTGCCATAAGTAAATGCTAAAAATAAAAGACAGCTGGGCGTGGTGGTGCATGCCTGTATCCCAGCTACCCAGGAGGCTGAGGCAGGAGAATCGCTGGAACCCAGGAGGTAGAGGCTGCAGTGAGCCGAGATCACATCACTGCACTGCATCCTGGTCAACAAAACAAGACTCCATCTCAAAATAAATAGATAAAAATAAAAATAGTCCAGGCACGATGGCTCACATCTGTAATCTCAGCACTTTGGGAGGCCAAGGTGGGTGGATCACCTAAGGTCAGGCGTCCAAGACCAGCCTGGCCAACATGGCAAAACTCCATCTCTACTAAAATACAACAGGCCGGGTGTGGTGGCTCACACCTGTAATCCCAGCAGCACATTGGGAGGCAGAGGCAAGTGGATCACCCAAGATAGGAAGTTCCAGACCAGCCTGGGCAAATACCCAAAAGGTATTTGGGGCCAAGCGCAGTGACTCACATCTGTAATCACAGCACTTTGAGAGTCCAAGGCAGGTGGATCACAAGGTCAAGAGATTGAGACCATTCTGGCCAACATGGTGAAATCCCGTCTCTACTAAAAATACAAAAATCAGCCGGGCATGGTGGTACATACCTGTAATCCCAGCTACTTGGGAGGCTGAGGCAGAAGAATCACTTGAACCTGAGAGGCGGAGGTTGCAGTGAGCCAAGATTGTGCCATTGCACTCTAGCCTGGACAACAAGAGTGAAACTCCGTCTAGAAGAAAAAATATTTGGTTTTTTTAAAAGCATACAACTATTTGACAACAATAGCATGTAAATCAGGAGAAAGTTTATTGGTGTTAATATGCTTTAATATCTTTGTTTCCTTCTGAATCAATGGTAATCATCTTGATTAACTTTCAACTTTAAAAAGTTTAAGTATGCATGCTAGGGTATAAGATAAAAGAAATTGTTGAGATTTTAGAGATTGTGCCACTTACACTTCAGCCTGAACTACAGAGCAAGACTCTGTTTCACAGTAAAAAAAAAAGGTAAAAGAAATAGACTGGGCCGGGCACGGTGGCTCACGCCTGTAATCGCAGCACTTTGGGAGGCCGAGGCGGGTGGATCACGAGGTCAAGAGATTGAGACCATCCTGGTCAACATGGTGAAACCCCGTCTCTACTAAAAATACAAAAAAATTAGCTGGGCATGGTGGCGCGTGCCTGTAGTCCCGGCTACTCGGGAGGCTGAGGCAGGAGAATTGCCTGAACCCAGGAGGCGAAGGTTGCAGTGAGCCAGGATCGCGCCATTGCACTCCAGCCTGGGTAACAAGAGCGAAACTCCAT